ACATTGGCCTACCGCTTGTACTAATAAAGTGCCAAGGGCCTAAGTGGTCACCTTAATATTAAAAAAAAAAAAAAAAAGATAAGTGGATTAGTTAAAGTAATGTTATTAGTATTTTTAGCAAGTAAAAGCATTTTTTTTGTTTGTATAAAAAAAAGTCGAGAAAGTTTGGTTTGGATGTTTTTGTATATTGGGATGATTTGTAATAGATATTCTAAAGAAGGTTGTAGTATAAGGTTGAATAGAGAGAAAATTTGAGTGGGTAATAATTTTTTATAATGAATGAGTATTAGAAAGTTTTTTATTTTGTTATATATTGTATCAAGAGTTGGTTTAGATAAGCCAGAACCATCATAGTAGATATTTAAATATCTAATTATGTCTGTAGGTTTTGTGAAAAAAATTGTTTGATTATTAAATATGAGAGTATGGTTTATTGTTTTGGAGCTTTTAAAAGATATATAAAGCAGATCAGATTTTGTTGAATTGACTTCTATGTTATTGATTTTGTATAAGAAAGAGGCATTATTGAGAATATTTTGTAGATCTTCAGAGCATTCATAGTGCCAAACGGTATCATTTATATAGGCTAATAGTAGAATAGTAATAAAGATAGGATTTGAATTAGAAATAATATTAAGTGGTGAAAGTGTAAATATTTTAAGAAAAGAGTTATTATATTTTTGAGAAATATAGATAAAAATAGGATCATAATAGATCTTCCATAGTAGAGGAGAGTAAGTTTCTCCTTGTTCTATGCCAAATTCAATATGAATTGGTGGTGTAAGACCATGTGCAGTGATTATTTTGGCTAAACAAGAGGTGTGTAGTTCAGTAATTAGATTTATGCCATTAGTCGGAATGCCAATCCTGCAACAGGCATCTTGCAGATGATTAATATTGATCTTGTAAAATGCTTTGAACATGTCCTGAAACAATATCCATGCTTCTTTGTTATATGAGATGTAGTATTCAATTGTGTTGTAAAGAATTTGAATTGGGGTATAATTTGTTTTTTTTAAATTTATTTTTTTTAAATTTATTTTTTTAAATTTTTTTCTTTTCTTTAAATTCGTTTCTTTAGATTCATTTTTTTAAATTCATTTTTTTAAATTCGTTTTTTTAAATTTGTTTCTTTTAAATTTATTTGTTTCTTTAAATTTGTTTCTTTTAAATTTATTTCTTTAAATGTATTTGACATAATTAGGTTTAATTTGATTTAATTGTTTGATATTTTGCATAAAAGAATTTATAATTTAAATTATAGATTCTTTTTTATTTATACTATTATCTAATACGTATATTTAATATTTTATAAAATTGGCTTTTTATTGTGGTAAAGATAATACACGAGTTGTTATATTAGACTCATACAATAACTATAATCTATTTTGTAATATTTAATTTTAGTTTTGCTAATTTTGATTTTTAAAATATTTTAATATATATTGAAATAATTATAATATTATGTAAAAATCATAATTTTTAATATAATTTAAAATTATTGAGTTAAATCAAATTAAACTGTTTTATTTAATTAGTTTTTTTTGTTTTAATATATGTCAAATTATTTTACTAACTTTTAAAATTATTTGAATTATTTCAAAATAAATTCCATATTATTTCATAATTAAAAATTCCAAAATATTTTGTATCAATCATAATTATTTTGAAATATTTCAGGCTATAATAACTTTTATAAGTTTTTGTTTATATATTTTGCTAATGTAGTATAACATTAATATTCTTATTTGTAGATAATTCATAGGACAAAACTGAAGAGATTTCAGAAACAAATAAATTTTAGTTTGTCTTAGAATTTATAAAAATAGCTATAATGCTAGTTAGATAATGGTAATACTGACCAGATAATTTTATTTGAGATTATATTAAAAATTCTACACATTATGCACATGTCTATCTTTAGTAATAAGGGACTGAAAATCATATGTGCTAATTTTGGTTTGACCCAAAATCAACCAATAATTATTAAGAATTATCAAACTATTTTGTATGTAAAATTTATTACAAAATGAATTTTTATAAAAACAGCCTTTTTAAGTTAAAAAGGCTGTTTTTTGAAAAATTGCTTCCAAATTTACTCTTGAACAGTTAAAAACTAATTGAACTATGATTAATCAATTCTAAAACACTCAAGTATATCAACAAATAGTAAAAATACCACTTTCTACAGCTTAGAATAGTTGTTTTATTAACTTTTATTTGTTTTTTATCTTGTCTAGATGCTAAAAAACCCCCTTTATTAATTATAACAAATGCCTTGTTTATTACTTTTTCAACATTACTAAGACAAAAATTTTATATTACTTTTTATCTAAAAAAAAAGCCCAAAAAACAAAATCAGCCCATATATTATATTATTTAACCTATTAATATTAACCAAAAGAGCCCAAAAATATAAAATTTACTACCTTTCTCAAATTAAAACAATACAAGGTTTCTTCTGTATTAATTTTAAAACCTGCTCTACTTTTCCAAAAAAAAAAAATTTTTCCAAATGCCCACTCGGAGTTATTTTATAATGAAGCTTTTCTTCTTGTTTCGAATTTATTAAATATCCAAAAATCTAAAAACTTTGACTACTAATATATAATATTTGACTGTGCTAATCAATATCCCATTTTAAAGTGCATTATTATAAATTCTATATCTATTAAGATGTATCAAGATGAGTTATATGGATTAGATAGTGAAAGTGATAGGTTAGATAGTAAGATGGGTTAGATATGTTATCAATTTTTTCAGGGTTTAGAATTAGCTAAATTAGGGATCAAATACTTGGTAAATTCGCCGTGATGCAAAATTGACCCAGCCGTGTTTATCAGAAATAATTACCCTAAGCCAAACTTTTTTCAGAATAATAGTAACAATCAGTGCAGTTTGAGAAGTATGTGCCACTCATGTGATCATTCATATTAAATTTCATGTGCGATCCGCACATGCGCACACCAAATTTTTTACACTGGTAATAATTTTTATATAAAATCATCTATGTCTATAAATTGTAATGTAGTGGTAATTATCTAATAAAAGTATTCCTATTATACAATCCATTTGAACCAACCTTAGATTGAAACCATAATTATTAGAATTTGACATGGGGATCCAACAGAGTATAACCACCCACATTTTGACCATATTTGAACCATTTTGGCCAAAATGACTTGCGTTTGATCTAAATTCGTATTTTGTATGTAGCCACCAACATTGGGAACATAAACCCCATATAGACCAGCATTGGGTGAAGCAGGTACTGAAATTGAATGTGATGAATAAGAACTATATTGTGTTGGAGTATACGATTTGCCGACCAAAATCGTGCTCCAGTCAAATTCGCATATTTTGATCTATCATCGATTTAGTGATTCAATCTTGATTATTTTCGAATCTTCTCACTGAGAGGATTCGAATGGTATCAAAATCATCAAGATTGAATTACTTGATCGATGATAGATCAAAATATACGAATTTGATTGAAACGCGAATTTGGACAACAAATTATAGTACATGTGGGATGAAAGTCGAAGAGGAGTCACATATTCGGAGATGAATGTCGGGATGAATGTCGAAGAGTCACATACTCGTTCTGAGTTGAATAACTATTAGATGAATGATGTCGAGGAGTGACATATTCATTCGGAGATGTATAACCGTTGTTGTGAGATAAATGACCCACATATTCATTCGGAGTTAGGGATGGTCTTATATGTTCTCAAGAACAAATTTTTTTAATTTAATGTTCTCAGAAATTTATTTATGTATTTATGTTCTCAACAATAAAATTTTTTTATATCCCTATTTATTGAATTTCTTATTTCGGAAATATCGGTCATTTATTCGAAATTCAAATTTTGTCCCTTCTCGTCTTTTATGTTCATTTGACATCATGCTATTATAGAAAACATATTTTTCGAGTTTTTTATAGAGAACATTTACGGGATATCAAATGCTCTCAAATTTAAAGGTATGAGAACATGAGATTTCCAACACTGCTCGCAACCTAAGACAACAAAAATCAAAGGCTACTCGAAAGAAGGCGTGGAAGATTTGGTTCGAAAACCAAGGATCCTACTGTTACTAGGATCCCGGAGTTTATCATTAGATGGTCTTTATTATTATAACACTTCACTTGTTTTCAGATACATGAAATCGATGATTATCTATACATTACAGAGTTTTGCTACTACGATTAGAATATTTAAGCAATATGACTATTTAGAGTATCGGGGGAAATCTATGACTAACGATGAGACTATGACTTTAGTTCCCACCATAGAGGCGCCTTACTATTGTTCTTCAAGCCTCGTCTCAAGCCAAACCCGAATTGGCACTTATTAAATGTCATCGCTTTTTCGATCAATACCCCGAATCTTATGGCTTAGATCCCGTTTTTTTGCTGCGGCTAGTTCACGTTACCCCTTTACAATGTACATATTGACATTTACCTATTAGCGTTAGAATGTGTAATAACAATATTATGTGAACTATATACATTAAATAATCTTAAACTATGCATTTAAAACTTTATTGAAATTATACTGTATATATATTGATTAGGCTGTCCAGAATATACAATTATAAATTTGTATATTAGGACTTTTTAAAGATCAGGTTTAAAGACCAGGTGACCAGGTCCTAAAGTCCCGGACCTAAGGACTTTACCAACCCTATTCGGAGTTGAATAGCTATAACTAGAGCCGTAACCATAATCACAGTATGGTGAAGACACAGAAGCCGAATAATTACTGAAATCCGATATTGAACCGCCGAAATAATCGTAATCAGAAAAAGAGCAAGTTAACCTCCCACCCCGTCGATTCATCGGAGTTGAATAGCTATTACTTGAACCGTAACCATAATTACAGTATGATGAAGACTCAGGAGCAGAATAATTACTGAAATCCGATATTGAACCACCGAAATAATCGTAATCAGAAAAAGAGCAAGTTAACCTCCTACCCCGTCGATTCATCGGAGTTTGAAGGCCAAGTTCTTTCATTATGCGATCTTCACGTTCTTTTTCTTCAGCAAGCATCACATCTGCATCAGTAACATAGACAGTGCTTTTTAAGGCAGCTTTACCTCGAGCGATCATATCAATAAGTTTCTCATTTATTTTTGATATAAACGCGTCTTGATCATCAAGTTCTTTAGATTCTTTAGGTTGAACCAAAATGTCAGTTGAAGAAGACTTGCGACGAGGTAATCGTCGAGGACGACGTACACGGATTTGCTTGCGTTTAGCAGGAGTAGATGACGATGTAGAAGAGATATCAATCGGAGAAACAGTTTGTGGAGTCTCAGACTGTATATTCTTCGGCGATGAGGACAGAGTAGGCGCATCTGATAAATTATGAGTGGAGATTGATAAAGTTTGATCCGCTTCGTTGTTATGAGTTGGCTGCAAATATTGAAATAAAAAGTATTAAAAAAATATATTTATTTAATACTGAAATGACAAGATTACAAAAAAATAAACTAACCATTGACCAAGAAATATCATATGGTGGCGGTGGTTCTTCTTCGTTATCGTTTGTTGTCCACGAACATTGATCTTTTTTATCAACACCAAAATTTATTTCTCGACTGGTTGTCACATTATTGTCGTTTTTTTGGACTGAGTTATTGTTATTTTTCTGGACTGAGTTATTATTATTTTTCTGGACTGCGTCATTGTCGTTTGACTCAACATTGTGTGTGTTAATAAACTCGGAATTATCGTTACTAATTTGCATCGCATTTCCGTCAGTATTCTGTTCTTGTGATCCATAAGTTTTATTTGTCGGTATAGGGATCTCTAACTCAAGTTTTCCATTGCTAGATGTCAAAGTATAATAAGCTTCACTAGCAACAGCCGAAGTGTAAGCTGCTATTTCTGTTAATTTATACAAGAAACTAGTTGCTACACTTGGCCGTTGTATGTTTTGAGGAAGTACGCTGTTAACAGGACTAGCAGCATACATTTTGTCAATTTGTTGTTGTTGCATAAAAAGTTTCAAACTTTTTTTAAAAAAAAATATTTTTAAGAATAGAAATCTTTATGTGAGATAAAGGTTTACAAATTTATACAAAAATAAAAATATTTATATTATTTTTAATTCTAATTTTAACGAAAGTAACTACTTTTCTTATAGTGAGAGATATTAAGTTTTTTATGTTTCTCCCGCCAATAATTCAAGAGTATGAATAATTTGGCTTTAGAGTTTTTAAAATTTCAAACGAAAAAAAATTGTTATGCTCTGTGCGTGCAGTTATGAACGATATCCAAATGTGTCTTCTGCTAAAAAATGTAACTATAACACAAGGGATTTTACTTTTTAAAGGCTGTGAAGAATCTGATAAAGAAATAAATTTGGACTTTTCTGGTTATGAAGTTGTGTAATCATACAACATTTGTAGTGTAGATATCTATGGTGTACAAACATATGTTGGAGCAACAAACGGACGTAGTACATTCACCTCTTATGTCCCTGAAAAATTTTGTATTTCCGGAATGACATATTTGGACACTAATTTCATATTAAAATATCGATGTCTTCAAAAGAAGACAAAGCCTGCATGGGAGGGCCCTCATTTAGAGCATTCTAGAGTGTCATTCAAAGATCATCTACATTACATAAGTATATATGCACTCTATAAGGTAACTTTCTCGTAATTGGTCGATTTTATAAATGAATTTATACAGTTTAGATCACTTACGATCCCACCACCAATCTTCACAAAACGAGGTTTTAAGTATCTTGTGTATCCCCAAGATTCATCCTCAACCTATTAGAAACGATAATAATGATGATTAGATACTAAAAGTTAGCAAGCTAAAGCTTTAATATTCAAAAAGCAATGCAAAATAAATTTGAATAGTCTTTTATTTTTTATTTTATTAATAAATTGTTTTTTTTAAATCTCTATATATCGATATATAGTTAATTTTTGAAATTAGGCTATGACCAATTACAATCACTAGAAAATTACCTGTAAATATGCGTCACTTCCCTAGAAGATCAAAAAACACCAATGCGAGGCCTTGAACTAACTTCATTGATGTAAATTAATGTAAATACCCATGTATTTACACAAACAAATGTTGTCATGTGCAAACTCTTGTATAACAAACATTTAGGTACGTCTGGTGACAACATTTGCCGTATCGTACCACGAATAAACATTCATTTCCTTTTTTAAAGAATTTTTTAAACGCATGTGTTTCTATTCATGGTACAGTGTGGTAATTATTTAACTTTTGGCGCGCATCTCTAATTAATTAGATTCTTATTAACGTTAGCATTACTTTATTCATTAATTGTTGTAAATTTTACTTGTTTCACGGGCCAAAATATTATTCGTGCTAAATGGTGTAGATTAATTTTTTGTGTTGGGGTCGGATATCAACCCCAATATCCGGATTGACATCCACCAACAAAAATATGGCGTTTAAGTTCCTCCAGGTCCGATCTGATCTTTATTTTTTTTCTCAAGACTAAGTTCCAAAAATACTTTTTAGTCAATCATTGTATATATGTCGTGCCTCAGACTAACACTTGTGTGAGATTGCAGCTAGTCTAAATTAGAGTAGGGTATAGTTTCGATCAATTATTACTAATCATTTAATGCCGGTTGAATACAAGTGTCAGAATAGTTATGGTGAAAGACAAAAAATATTGAGATCACGTGTTTATTACTAATCAAGCACAGCTTATATAATGTTGGGCAAGGAATTTTTCATAAGAATTAATATTATTTTTATGTACGTACTCTTAACAACACATAAATGCGATTCTGTGTGATACTGTATTTTGCGCAAATGGTTACAAATTTTTTAATATATCGATATCGTTATTCTTGTAGTGTTTTCATATAATAACAACTGATCAAGAACGTGCAAGATTGTGCTTGGCAACTTATTAAAGTGCAGCAAACCGCGCCAATAAGTGATACATTAATGTTTTGGCTTTTTAAAGCAAAAAAAAAGTAATTATATATATATACTGTATTTATACAGTATAACCTCGATATAACGAAGCTCTGGAGCTGGAGGTTTTCTTCGTTATATCATACCTTTATTAGTAGTTTCGTTATATTGGGGCTAATTTAAACATAAAAATTAGAAATAATCTTCGTTATTGTTATATCGAGGTTATACTGTATACTGTACTATACTATATATTGTTTTGGTTATATTGATATCTGAATATAATAATATATTTCTAGTTGTAACAATATTTTGTAAAAATTTAAAGCCACATATGTGAAAATGCTTTTTTTTTTTGTTTATTAAAATATTTTAAGTATATGGCCTTGAAAATCACCCTTCGACATTTCTGATCGGGTTAATTCGGACAAAAACAAATCCGTATATTAGTTCACGTTTATATTTGAATTTCTTTTTGCTTTATTGGCTCGAAACTTTATTCTATAAACTATTGACAAAAGGAGGTTTACATATAAACATGAACTAGTACACGAGGTTGTTTTTGTCCGAATTAGCCCGATCGGAAATGCCGGAAGGTGATTTTTCAAGGCAAAGACCCATCTATAATATATATATATATATGGTGCCGGAAGCCTATACTCGACAATCACGTGATTTGTTTCAATTTTTCAAACTGCTAAAACTTTTTATACAAGAGGTTTTTCAAATAACTGGCCAGTGATTTTATAGAGCTATATATGCTCTATAAAATTATTGGTCAGTTTTTTGAAAAACCTCTTGTATAAAAAGTTTTAGCAGTTTGAAAATATTAAGATTATATATAAAATAAAATTTAAAATCCTAAAACTTATTATGAAGATATTATTTTAAAAATCTGACCAGTAACTTTGTTCTTCATAATGAGCTCTACAAAATTACCAGTAAGATTTTTAAAATAATGTTTTCGTAAAAAGTTTTAGCATTTTAAAGGTTATTATATATATAAATCTTAATATTTTCAAACTACTAAAACTTTTTATACAAGAGGTTTTTCAAAAAACTGACCGATAATTTTATAGAGCATATATAGCTCTATAAAATCACCAACCAGTTATTTGAAAAACCTCTTGTATAAAAAGTTTTAGCAGTTTGAAAAATTGAAACAAATCACGTGATTGTCAAGTATAGGCTTCCGGCACCATATATATATAATATATATAACTATATACTAAAAATATTTGTGTATAACAATAACATTTAGATTACTCATATAAATTCTTCAACATATTCGCGGAAATTTGGAATTACTATTTAAAATTTTTCAAAATATTTAACCATAAATAACTTTTGATTCACTGGTTCGGTTTGGATAATTTTATCATCAAAATGATCGTCTCAATGAGACAATTCTAATAAGCCCAAAATCATTAAAATCCAATTATGGGACCCCAAGATAGTTAAGGATTTGTGCCACTTTGGGTATTTTAGAATTGGTTTAATCAATCCTAAACCACAAATTCTTGACTATCTCAGTTGGATTTTAATGATTTTGGGCTCATTAGAATTGTCTTATTGAGACAGCCATTTGATAATAAAATTATCCAAAACTAACTAGTAAATCAAAAGTTATTTATAGTTAAAGATTTTGAAAATTTTAAATATAATTTCAAATTTTTGTAAATGGAAAATTTTATATATCTCTAGTTAGATATGTTTAGCTTATATATCTTTGGCCCAAAGCTATGCCTAATCATATAACTTAATCAGGGTTAGTGTTATATAGAGTTAAAGCAAAAACAAGTTATATAAGCAAATTATCTTCCTAACACTTTTTGATATTTTTCATATTTTTTTACTTTTTTGCACTTTTTGTTGTTGTTTTATTTTTTCGAACTGATTTGTGAAGATTATTCTTTGTACTATACAAAAATGGCAGTCATATAATTATTTTGTATTTTAATTGGCTTTTAGCTTTGAAATATTATCATTAGGCATCTTTGACCAGAGATGTTTAGAAATATTTTTTGTAAATATAATTAAATTATATTATTATATATTTTTATATTTTGGTTAGCTTCTGAATTACAGTTGTATAAAAGCAAATACTGTATTTTTGCATAATAATACTCATAAGCATTATTGTATTTTTTCCAAAATAAGCTAACTTTTTTTGACATAAAAATTTTTAAAGTAACTTATTTATAGATAAAATTGATTTTGACCATTTTATATATACTTTTTTACTAACAACTCTACTCTCAAACCCTAACCTAACACTAAAAAAAAACTCTAATAAAAAGGCGTGGAAATTTTTTAAAATTTCATAATAAAATAAGTCAAAATTTTAGTATTAGCAAATTTCAGCATTAAATATGACAATATATATCTCGTACTTTGAGATATGCTTATATATCGTACTTAAATATGATTGGCTAATTTTGCAGATTATTATTTTTAAAAAAATAAACAAATTTTTATTAATTTTTTTATATTAAAGATAACTTATAAAAAAATCAATAAGATACTAGAAGTTAAGAAAAAAGAAGTACTAGTTATAGGTTGTACAAAGTGAGAAATTTGTCTAATAAATAAAATAGTCATAGATAGAATACTTAGAAGTAGTTTAATAGAGATTTTAGAACAAAATGAAGCTTTAGATGGTTTGTTTTTTTATACAAATAGCTTACTTGAAACATCAAAAGGTCTTACAAAAATAGAAATAGGTTGTAGAATTGTGCAAATTACAGGAGAAGGTTAGATCTCAAATAGCTTGTAGTACAAAATAGTGGTTTTCATCAACAAGAGCAGAGTTAGTAGAAATCCTAGTAGTGATAATAGTAATACCTAATGAACAAAAGCGAAGTAGAAATAAGAACTGATAGTAGTGCAGCCATATTTGCAATCAGAAAAAAGCTTAAAGCAAACAAAGCAAGACAATAGTTTAAGATCAAGAATAGTGGCCTGATTGCAACAATAGTTGAAGTAGTTAAAACAAAGTAGCTAACTCTACATCTCACAAAAATTAAGAGTCACTCAGGAGACATTTTTAATAAT